GTATGCAGGGATGGTTTAATGTGCGCAAGACAATCAATGTGATACACCACATTAACAGACTGCAGAAGAAAAACCCTATGATTATCTCAATAGATGCCGAGAAAGCATTTGATAAAATACAACACCCATTCATGATGAAAACTCTAAGCAAACTGGGTTTGGAAGGAACATTCCTCAATACAATCAAAGCAATCTATGAAAAACCCACAGCCAACATCCTATTGAATGGGGAAAAGTTGGAAGCATTTCCACTGAGATCTGGTAACAGACAGGGATGTCCACTTTCACCACTGCTATTCAATATAGTTCTGGAGGTTCTAGCCAGAGCTATTAGGCAAGAAAAAGAAATTAAAGGGATACAAATTGGGAAGGAAGAACTCAAACTATCCCTCTTTGCAGATGACATGATTCTTTATTTAGGGGACCCAAAGAACTCTACTAAGAGACTATTGGAACTCATAGAAGATTTTGGCAAAGTAGCAGGGTATAAAATCAATGCACAAAAATCACCAGCCTTTGTATACACAGACAATGCCATGGCTGAGGAAGAACTTCTAAGATCAATCCTATTCACAATAGCTACAAAAACAATCAAATACCTGGGAATAAACTTAACCAAGGACATTAAAGATCTCTATGATGAAAATTACAAAACCTTAAAGAAAGAAATAGAAGAGGATACAAAGAAATGGAAAAATCTTCCATGCTCATGGATTGGAAAAATCAATATCATCAAAATGTCCATTCTCCCAAAAGCAATTTATAGATTCAATGCAATCCCAATCAAGATACCGAAGACCTTCTTCTCAGATCTGGAAAAAATGGTGCTGAAATTTATATGGAGGCACAAGAGACCTCGAATAGCTAAAGCAATCTTGTACAACAAAAACAAAGCCGGAGGCATCACAATACCAGATTTCAGGACATACTACAGGGCAGTTGTAATCAAAACAGCATGGTACTGGTACAGAAACAGATGGATAGACCAATGGAACAGAATTGAAACACCAGAAATCAACCCAAACATCTACAGCCAACTTATATTTGATCAAGGATCTAAAACTAATTCCTGGAGCAAGGACAGTCTATTCAATAAATGGTGATGGGAAAACTGGATTTCCACATGCAGAATCATGAAGCAAGACCCCTACCTTACACCTTACACAAAAATCTACTCAACATGGATTAAAGACCTAAATCTACGACCTGACACCATCAAGTTACTAGAGAACATTGGAGAAACCCTTCAAGATATTGGCACAGGCAAAGAATTTCTGGAAAAGACCCGGGAGGCACAGGCAGTCAAAGCCAAAATCAACTATTGGGATTGCATCAAATTGAGAAGTTTCTGTACTGCAAAAGAAACAGTCAGGAGAGTGAAGAGACAACCGACAGAATGGGAAAAAATATTTGCAAACTATGCAACAGATAAAGGGTTAATAACCAGAATCTACAAAGAGATCAAGAAACTCCACAAAAACAAAACCAACAACCCACTTAAGAGATGGGCCAAGGACCTCAAGAGACATTTTTCAAAAGAGGAAATCCAAATGGCCAACAGGCACATGAAAAAATGTTCAAGGTCGCTAGCAATCAGGGAAATGCAAATCAAAACCACAATGAGCTTTCACCTCACCCCGGTTAGAATGGCTCACATTCAGAAAGATATCTACCAACAACAGATGCTGGCGAGGATGTGGGGAAAAAGGGACAAACTGGTCAAGCCACTATGGAAGTCAGTCTGGAGATTCCTCAGAAACCTGAAGATAACCCTACCGTTCGACCCAGCCATCCCACTCCTTGGAATTTACCCAAAGGAATTTATATTGGCAAACAAAAAAGCGGTCTGCAGCCTAATGTTTATTGCAGCTCAATTCACAATAGCTAAGACCTGGAACCAACCTAAATGCCCATCAACGATAGACTGGATAAAGAAATTATGGGATATGTACTCTTTAGAATACTATACCACAGTAAGAAACAATGAAATCCAGTCATTTGCAACAAAATGGAGGAATCTGGAACACATCATGCTGAGTGAAATAAGCCAGTCCCAAAGGCACAAATATCATATGTTCTCCCTGATCGGTGACAAATGACTGAACACCAAAAAGGAAACCTGTTGAAGTGAAATGGACACTATGGGAAACGGTGACTTGATCAGCATAGCCCTGACTGTTAATGAACAACTTAATACATTATCCCTCTTAGTAGTTTTTTGTCTGTTCTACTTAATATGACTGGTTTAATTCTGTAATTAATACACAGTTATTCTTAAGTGTTGAAAATTAACTGAAATGTGATCCCTGTTAAACATAAGAGTGAGAATAAGAGAGGGAAGAGATGTATAATTTGGGACATGCTCAAGCTGACTTGCCCCAAATGGTAGAGTTAGAAACATACCAGGGGATTCCAATTCAATCCCATCAAGGTGGCATGTACCAATGCCATCTCACTAGTCCAAGTGATCAATTTCAGTTCACAATTGATCATAATGAAAGGACTAAGAGTCAAAGGGAGCACATAAACAAGTCTAGTACCTGCTAACACTAACCAATAGAATAAATAAAGGGGAGAGTGATCCAACATGGGAAGTGAGATACTCAGCAGACTCATAGAATGGCAGATGTCCTAAATAGCACTCTGGCCTCAGAATCAGCCCTAAAGGCATTCGGATCTGGCTGAAAAGCCCATGAGAGTATTTCAGGCATGGAAAGCCAAGACACTCTGGCAAAAGATCTCTGTGAGTGAGATCCCAGTGGAAAGAACAGGTCTTCAAAGAATGAGGTACCTTTCTCTGAAGGGAGGAGAGAACCTCCACTTTGACTATGACCTTGTCTAAACAAGATAAGAGTCGGAGAACTCAGAGGGCTTCCATAGCCTTGGAAACTCATGACTGTAGCATAGGGAGATTACTGATGCCATAGACAGGAGTGTCAATTTGTAAAGTCAACAACAGGAGTCACTGTGCACTTACTCCTCATGTAGGATCTCTGTCCTTAATGTGTTGTGCATTGAGATTTAATGCTATAACAAGTACTCAAACAATATATTTCACTTTGTGTTTCTATGGGGGTGCAAACTGTTGAAATCTTTACTTAATGTATACTAAACTGATCCTCTGTAAAAAAAATAAAAAGAAATTATGAACTCCCAACTTGACTCTCACTGGGATTAAACATGACAATAAGTCTGATCTGATTTCATCATCATTTAAAAAAAATCATCTATTATTCTTCACTTTATGTTTCTGTGTTTGAGCAAACTGTTGAAATCCTTACTTAATGTATACTAAGCTGATCTTCTGTATATTAAGATAATTGAAAATGAATCTTGATGTGAATGGAAGGGGAGAGGGAGTGGGAAAGGGGAGGGTTGTGGGTGGGAGGGACGGTATGGGGGGGAAGCCATTGTAATCCATAAATCGTACTTTGGAAATTTATATTCATTAAATAAAAGTTTAAAAAAAAAAGAAAACGTGAATCTGGCTATTTGCCTCATTATGGAGTCCCAAGCTAACAAATGTCATTAGGCTCTCATAGCATACATATTAATTTTTAGAAAGATATTTTAACTGATGAAGGGTTACCTAAGATTGGGAATTACTGGTGACCAAATTTAAAACTATGGGTCAGGATTCTTTTCTCACTACTAAAATTGCATTCAGTTTTTAAGATGAGATAAAGCTATATTAGGACTGAATATTAAATAATTGAAAAGGACCATCTCATAAACCTGTACAACCATTTTGGTTTTTTTTTTTTTTTTTTTTGGACAGGCAGAGTGGACAGTGAGAGAGAGAGACAGAGAGAAAGGTCTTCCTTTGCCGTTGGTTCACCCTCCAGTGGCCACCGCGGCTGGCGCGCTGCGGCCCGTGCACCGCGCTGATCTGATGGCAGGAGCCAGGAGCCAGGTGCTTTTCCTGGTCTCCCATGGGGTGCAGGGCCCAAGCACCTGGGCCATCCTCCACTGCACTCCCTGGCCACAGTGTACAACCATTTTGTAACTCTTCAGGAAGAGTATAATCTCCATGCAAACATATAGTATGTATTCTAATTATATGCTCCAGTCTATTTAAGTGTGCTTTTCAAATTCAACAGTATTTCTTAACTGATGCAAAACAGCCTTTTTTATGCCAACTAAGTAGAATACCATATAGACAAAATAATAAACTCAATTTCCAGGAATCAAATTGTTGATTATATTCGATGTCTTATGCCGACCCAACTATATTGACAACTGTATTAACTATGAAAAATTTTTAAAGAATATATTATACAGAGTCTAGTTGTTTTATGAAAAAAAGTTTAAATTGCTTACATGAATCTAGAGATTTTAAACAGTTTCACCCCATAAGTAACAAATAAAACTTCTAAGAAATAATCTAAAAGATGACCAATGACTCCTAAGAAAAGAGACATTGCAATGTACACAAGGGAATTCTGCTCAAAAAAAAGAGATTCAAATACAATTTTAAAATCCCTAAAATCCCATGTGTTAGTTGTTCCAAACTGTCTCCACAATACTGAGTTCCTGATGCCTTGGTATTGCACTAAAGAAGAATTTAATGAGTGTAGCAAATTGCTGATTTAACAAAATAAACTGTCCTGATGTATAAGGCCTCTCAGAAGGTTACTGTGCATTACTAAAAGAATGATAGGAAATATAGTATTTTACCCCAAATCTATTTAACACAAAGATTTGGAGGAAATCACCTTTTGAATTATTGCTATGAGTGTACTGTGCTGTATGACTATTAGATTAATTAAATTCAATTGAATTGAAAGACAACTTAGTAGGTTTTTCCATTTCAAGAAGGATAAAATGCACCATACATAGTATTCACAGTGCAGTAAATCTTCAGTCATGAAATTTAATCTTTAGATTAATTGATCATATTTCATCCTACTTTTTGACAGCTTGTCTGATATTTAACTAACTATGCATAATTAAGGAATATGAACTACATTTTTTGTGCAGGGAAATCATGTGGAAATCACCATGCATTCCAGTCAGCATCACAGTTGCAGTGATACTGGGAACCGGAGCAGTTGCCTTCTAATCCACAAGTACATCTTTGAGCATCAGGCTGAGAGCCTCCCCAGTACATGAGTGTTTCATTGGTTCTTCCACTCCACCAGCTCAGTGGGCTTCCATCTGAAAGACAAGGATGAGAAAGGTGATATGGTGATATCTACTTTTCCTCCCATTGCCAGCAACTCCCCTTTAGTTTCAAGTTTAAAGTGACTGAGTGTGAGGAGGTAGAGAAAATGAGAATGTATGTTTTACTCTGCAATAAACATGTTTCCTTAAGCATTTTAACCTACCCATTTTTCTTCCAATATTTCAATATCTAAACCTAAACAATCCTCATCTATTTTAGTTTATTAAAAATGAGTCCTTAACATTTATGGAATGACATTACATACTTTCCACACAAAGGACATTTGAGAACATAGCCCACCAAAATAATAATAGAAATTTATACACTAAAGATAAAATTTGAAATGATGAAATACTCATTGAGCATGTTTAATGTTAAACAAAGTCATTGATTTAGCTCATCACTGTGGGGAGCAACCCGGACTAGACTAAGTTACTGGAATTAAGACTTATTCTATGCATCTGCTCTCCCACAATATGGCGCTGGGAGAGGAGGCAACAGCTTCTACCCAGCTGACTCTCACCAACTTGACAAGCTGCAGGACCTGCTCCTGATTGGAGGAGAGCAGCGTACTCGGCGTGTGGGTAGCAGAGTTGGGATTGGCGGAAGAGGACTATAAAGGAGGAGAGAGACAACATGCACCAGGAACATCTAAGGGGAACATCTATCTGAAGGAACACCTGTGCAGCCCCCGAGAGAGCCGGCGGTGCCGCTCCCCCGCGGAAGTGGGGAAAGTGGCCAGGGGGAACCGCCCTTCCACGGAGGTGGAAGGGACGGTAGCCAACCCGGGAAGAACCAGCAGCAAACCCAGGGAGGGCCGAGCAGACAAAAGAACAACGCAGGGTCCTGTGTCGTTCCTCCACGAAGACGGGGAGCGACAATCACCACATCTACTTTTCTCAGAACATTATCTGTATATTAAACATTTAGAAAGATACAGTACTCCCTGTCAAGATATAAATTTTTTGAAGTGATTTCCTTCATTGCATGGCCTGCCTTCTTATTTGGAGGCCAAAGAAACAATGTTAATAGGCCTTCTTCATCCCTGAGGTAAACCTTATGCCCCAAAACTGAGTGCCTTTATGTCTGTTGTGATTAGCACAGACGTTCAGCACCATCTCTTCCTCAACAGTGAAATGATTAAGAAATAGAGGCAGACTCTGCATCACGTCAACAGAACCATATATCAGGACAGAAGTTGCTGCTTGGCATGGTCAGGGTGCACATCCCAGTGAAGTTAGAACAATTGGAAAGCAGTTGTGCTGTGGGCTGAGATATATGGACATCCATTCCTTTCTGCTCCTTTAAGCACCAAGTAGGGAGCAACAGGGGCTTGAGTAATAAAGCTGAAGCAAACTGAACAAAATAGTGCTACAGGGGAATAAAATTAGATTATTACTGGAACCACAGCCCATAAAATAGGCCAAAATCTTTACACTAAATCTAAGGACAGTGGCGGTCCATTAAAACAAAAACTTAAATAGGAAACAAAGTCTTCTCACACAATTACCAAAATCGAGATTTCCAGAACACAACTGATATTGGAATTTGGCCCCCTAAAATATATACGAAAATGTGGCCTCATAAAATTCCCCAGAAATACCATCTGGGGTGCCACATATGTTATCGGGATTTGGGGTGCCATTCGATATCACCATACACTTCTTAATAAATCCCCAATATTAATAAACCCAAATGGGTTCTTGCCAGATATTTAGAGTAGAATTCTAAATACCGGCATAAATGAACAAGGCAGCATGGTACATTTTTTTTTCTTTTTTTTATTTAGTAAATATAAATTTCCAAAGTACAGTTTATGGACTACAATGGCTCCCCCATAATTTCCCTCCCACTTGCACCCCTCCCATCTCCCGCTCTCTCCCTTCCATTCACATCAAGATTCATTTTCAATTATCTTTATATACAGAAGATCGATTTAGTATATATTAAGTAAAGATTTCATCAGTTTGCAAGCATGGTACATTTTAAATTTTTATTTAGTGCAAAAGATGCATAGGAGAGTGAAAACTTTATTTAAGAGAGGAGGTAAATCTGGGTTCATACCGTGTACCAGGAACCAACCACATGGAAGAGCATCTAGACCAGGAAGCATGGGGCAGGTGGCCTGAAGGCCATGCGTCCTGGAGGTGCAGGGCTACAGGCAGCCCCCTTCTGGCAAGAGGCCAGGGAGAGAGAAATGGAGGAAAGGGGCGGACACACCCTATTCCTGGCTTTTAATCCACTCTCAAAGGGGAGTAGCTAATTAACCTGATTGGCTGGTGGGCACTAAGGTGTGGCCAGGTAGGGGCAAGAGGTCACACAGGGGTGTGGTAAAGAAGTGGTCTTCCAGCTCACAAACCTTATCAATTTAAGCCTGTATGCCTACCTACTTCATAACCACTGGAAAAATCACCAATCATGCCAAACCAACAGAGTCATAATTTTATTGCCAAATACCATCAACTGACACTAACAGTGAGGATGAACTGGGCTAGAACTATCTGACAAAGATTTTAAGGACAGCCATCATTTAAAAATAATTAGACATGCAATTACAAATTCCCTTCAAAAAATGAAAACTGGAAAGAAGAGAAGTCACAAAAAAATCTAATGGAAATTACAGAAATCAAAAAGAAACATACACTTAAAACAAAATTCACTGAAAGGGTTCAAAATGGAGTGAAGAAGAGGCCAGAATCAGAAAATTTGAAGACAGATCAACAGATTATATTCACTCTGACCAAAACAAGGAAAATAGAAAATTAAAAAGAGAACCATCAAGGAACTAATGGACATTAACAAAAGATTTAGCATTTGGAAGCTGAAGAAGGAAGTGGGACTGAAAGAATGAAGAAATATTGGCTGCAAATTTCCCAAACGCAGTGAAAGACACATACCCACAAGTCCAAGAAGTATAAATTCCAGAAAGGATAAACCTTAAAAACACCCAGAAAACTTTTGAAAACCAAATACAAAGAAAAGATCTTGATGGGGCCGGTATTGTATGGCAGGTTAAGCCACTGTCTATGATGCCATCATTCCATGTGAGCACAATTCAGATCTCTGCTGCTCTGCTTCCAAACCAGCTCCCTGTTAATATACCTGGGAAGGTAAAGGCAGATGGCCTAACTAATTGGGCCTCTGCATCTATGTGAGGAATCCAGATGGAGTTACAGGCTCTTGGCTTTGGCCCGGCCCAAAGACAGACAAACCCCGCTACCTACAAAAGTTGAGTGACCTTTCTCCCAGTCTTGGCTGGAATCAGCTGAAAGCACATCCTGTCCCCATAAGGGTCCAGAGACACCCCCCCCGCCCCCAATTTCCTCTCTCTGAAATCCTCTCATTACCTGGTTAATGCTATTCTTAGGATCACTGGTTACTATTCTCACCCTGTTTTTATACTACAGTGTTTACAGCAGGTTATAATGGAACAAACCAAAGCCTTCAACAACCAAGCAGTCAACCAAATGCTGCTACAAGGATTTACTTGGCTCCCCACCCAGGAGACAGCGGCCTGAGACATTGCCCCATGCCAGTGAAGAGTACCTCATCGCCCCGTGTCAGCAGGAAGTAGCTCTAAAGACAGATCATTGTCCCTCTACCCCTCCTGGACTTCTGGGACTAATGTAACCCCATACAAACCCTGCTTTATAAAAAACAAAAGGGGGGAATGTTAGGAAACTGGCGCAGTTTTAGCCAGGTGGCCACATGGCCCAGCTACCTGTGCCAGGCTCCACCCCCATCCTAATGGGATTTGCTGCTCCTGCTTCCCTGCCCGCCCTCAGGCAAAGTTTTAAAAGGGCCTGTTCCTGCACACGTGCTCTCTTGGTCCTTCTCTCCTGCGCTCTCTTGGCTTCTCTTGGCTCCTCTCCTCCTCTCGTTTCTCTTCTCCCCCTTCTCTGTCTCTCTCTCGTACAGTCTCCTTCTCTTTTTCCTTCGCCGCCCCTTCACTCCGGTCTGTAGGGTGTTCCCCAATAAACCCTTTCCCTTAAAAAAAAATTATTTATTTTAGAGGCAGAAACACACACCATCCACACACATAAAGACAGAGAGATAGAGAGAGAAGACAGAGAGACACAGACAGACAAAGTTACCATCTTCTGGTGATTTACCAAATGCCCCCAGTGGCCCTGGGCCAGGAGCTGGGACTGAAGCTAGAAGCCAGGAACTCAATCCAAATCTCCAACCTAGTTTGCAGGAGCCATCACCTCTGCCTCCCAGAGCCTGCACCAGCAGGAAGCTAGAGTCAAGAGTGGGAGCCAGGTATTGAAACCAGTCACTCTGTTATGGGACATGGGTGTCTTAGCCTGCATCTTAACCATTAGACCAAAAGCCCACCTACAAAATACAAATTTGAATGATAGATTACTCATTTGAAATCATAGAAATTGAAATGGCAAAATTTTTTGAGGGCTAGAAGCAAAGCTAAAAATTCTGCATCCAAGGAAACTATCCTTCAAGAGTAAAATGTAGGGGGTGTCGTTCTGGTGTAGTGGGTAAAGGCACTGCCTGTGACATCAGCATCCCATATGGGTGCTGGGTCATGTCTTGGAGGCTCCATTTCTGATCCAGCTTCCTGCTAATGGCCTGGGAAAAGCAGCAGAAGACAGCCCAAGTATTTGGACCCCTGATACCCATGTGGGTGATCTGGATAAAGCTCCTGACTCCAGGTTTTGACCTGGACCAACCCAGCCCATGGTGGCCACTTGGGGAATGAACCAGTAGATAGAAGACCTCTCTCTCTCTCTCTCCATCTCTCTCTGTAACTCTGACTTTAAATAAATAAATAAATCTTCAAAAAAACCCAAATGAAATGTCAATAAAAACTCAAGATGAATTTGTTTCAAATAGACAATTCCCAAAAGAATGACTAAAGGAAGATTTACAAGCAGAAAGAAAATAATTGAAGAAGGAATCCATGAACAGTAGTGAACAAAAAACCAAAACAATGGAAAGAGCAGAAAAAAAATCAGTAAAAAAATAAGTAAATGCA